TTTAAGAACGGAAATAATTTTCAATACAAATCTATACGAATACTTAAATATAAAATATTTATTTAATTGATTGGATTTCTGTGTAAAAATTACACCAACAAAGTATTTTTTTTCTCTTCAATGATAGTTATTTTAATAAAATGTGTTATGACTAATTTAAGTAGACTTAAATTTGTAATATTTTTCCATCGATGAAAAAAATTATCAATGAAAAGTTTATTAAAAGAGTGAATCGAACCACTAAAAATGATTAATTCATTTTTTTTGGTAATCTTCATAAAGCAAATAAGACAATAATTAATTAATTAGCATAGTGAATTACAGTTTTGATTATAATTGGAACATAATAAAAAATGTTTATTGTCACACTAAACCAACATGTGATTTTCAAAGAGTATTATAACATAATTACACTCTTACCAATTGTGTAACAATTTTGAAAGACATGTTGAATTTTTTCCATTAGTTTTTTACGTTAATTGCATTATAGTTAGTCCGTATTTAAACTTTTGTCTAATAAACTTTTTATTAATAATTTTACCCTTTATTATAATATAGAATAATAATTAAGTTTAGATTAAACTATTTATGGTTATACAGTATATATATATATATATATAAATTAAAATTGCAGAATATACCGCAATTGACACAGCCATGGATACTATTTACGGGATTTTGTTTATTTTTTGAAATTTTAATTTTCATAAAGAGATTTTTTTGTGATATATACATTTCTCATTTTAAAGAAGTTATAGTTATTGGTAAGATTTATATTTATTAATTATCATTTTTATATAATAAAAAAATGCATTATGTTTATGGTGATAAACATTAACGACAGCCTGTAAAAATGCAACCGTATTAAGACCTATCCTTTCAAATGGCATTATGTTATAAATTGCAGGGTAAATAATATTGAGATAAAAAATTGTTCAATAACATAAGAAACATTACAAACACTAAGATTATATGGTTCCGTTTGAATAAAATTTTATTATCATTGAATAGACACAAAAAATGTTAGTATTCAAATATGAAATTACTTTATAACTGACGCGTGATGTATCTAGGTGGCTAAAGGTGTTGAGCACGTTTCCCTTTAACCGTGCAATATGTACAGTTTAGGTAATATCATACCTCTGAAATTCTAATTTTTGTTTTTAAGTAAATTATATTACGCATAGCTTAAAATACTACTTCTATTATAAAAATATTCTTCTTCTTCCCCTCGCCCATGTCCCAACTTCTTGGAATCATCCTATCTTATCCTAAACTTCCACTTGACAAAATCTCTCACATCAGCACATCTACGCACACATCAGAAGTCCTCATATTGCATTCAATAACAACTCTCCAATTTTTTTTTTCCTTCCTTTATCTCTTCTTCCTTTAAAATTAATTTCTATAATTGTTCTTACAGCTTTCGATTCCTTCCTCCTTATAACATGACCAAACTATCTAAGTCTATTTTCTCTTATCTTATCCACGATTTACGCTATACCAATACTCCCTCTTATATGCTCGTTCATTACCTACCTTCTCTAGTCACTCCACTCATCTATCTAAGCATTCTCATCTCTGCTACATTCATTCTCTCCTCTACTTTATTGTCAACCACTCAACACTCTGAATCATACATCATAGCTGGTCTCACTACAGTCTTATAGAATTTACCTTTCAGCATAGAATTGAAGATTATGTGACTAAATCTAGCAAATAAGCGTATAGCGGTATTTTGAGTAAAAATAATGGTAGTGCCCTCTTTCAGTCTCGTTGGAATTCTTTTATCACATAAAACCTTTTGTTACTCCTCCTACACTTTTTACCCTGGTCCAAGTGTCATCATACATATTTTCTATTATATTAATGTCCCTTTTCGGGACTTCTTTTCTCATTAATGCCTAACTACTTCTATTATAAAAATCAATAGTATAAAATTTATCTAAAAATAATTTATTTGAAATTTAATTAAATTTGTCATTAAAATATGACTCGGGCTTTCTGAGAGGCTTGTCCCTGATATCAGCGATTCCCTGAGAGGAGTCATTATTAGTAGTGATTAGAAGATTTCATTGGTACAAGAACCCTTATCAGAATTCTATAGACTATAGAATGTAGGAAAATTGTTTTAATCAAAGGATTCAATAAATTCTTTAGAATTCCCGTCTCTGGTTTTGATAATTTGTGTTAAAATTAAATTCTATGCTGCATATAATGTTTATTACACTGAATATTTTGTTTAGTAAATTGTGTATGGCAATTATACCTTTACTTGAATGATATAAGTTATGCTACGATTACAATACAGAAATTAATGTAAAAATTAAAATATTTAATTTTAGTGCACTTGTTATACAATTGGTATCACATTAGTCAATGGAATAATAAAACAAATTAGAAGAAAATTCACCCTGTATATCAATATATTAAAATTTATATAGAATTTATGAATTTTGTATTCATACAAAAAACACAAAAGTACATATACTTAATGTATACTAATAAGCACTATTTTATCAACTTACAGGTGATAAATAAAACTAAATTACTTATACATAACAAATTTGTTTTAACTAAAATTTAAAATATCCTAAGATGCTTTAACTCTTTTAAAAAAAATTGTTAATAGTTAAAAATTATGAAATTATTAAAAAAGTTATTACGGAACCCGGGTATGCCAAATCCGGGTTAATGAGCTTTGAACAAAACTAACTTTAACTAGTGGATTCAGTTCTCTCTACTTTGTCTTTAATTGGTTGAAGTAGTCTTCCAATTTTGAGGGTATAACGCAAGACTAACAACCCTGCATTTTGAAATCAATATTGTCCAGGACCTAATAACAAATTTTTCTCGGAATCATGAAGATTCTGAAAACAAGATTGAAGAGTGTTTAGATACTATTCTAAAATTTATACTTAAATATATATAACATCAAATTGTATGTGTACACGTTATATTTCTTGCACTCTTTACATAGACAAATATTGAGGTAGGGCTTAGCTTCTTTAGAAAATCAGTATCCTTTTATAAATCAAAATATTATTTTAATTTTTATTATTTTAATTCCCTTTAAAAATGTAATATTAATACTCATTATTTAACCATTTGTAAAATGAGAATAGCATTTGTTTAAGGCGTTTGTTATCTATTTTTTTTTATGGTGGAAATTATTATTTGTACAGTTCACTAATGAGAATCAAGAAGAAAAATATTAACACTTCAATTTATTGAGTTTGTTTACGATTTCCAATTCGAATTAGAATCAAAACTTAATACTATTAATCACCAATATAATGTTGGTAATACTAATGTAAGTGATGTCATAGCATTCTTATTCATTGTTGATGCTGATGACTAATAATAACATAAAAGTGTATTTTATGCTACAGAATGAGTTTATAGCAACATATTTACTTTACATTTGTCACCATTATGAAATATCCAAACCGTCATGTCGAAGTCAAAAACCAACTAATTATATGGTTATTAATAAAAAATAATTAATATATTCCTATAAATACACAATGGACATGAACGTATAGAAAAGTATAAATTAATATTTGTAGGTTCTAAAGTGAGTATCATTAAGCGCTTTTTTAGAACTCTGATAGCAACATGCAAAGGTGGGATAAGGTCGTATCCCCAAAGTATCATATTGCCAAATTTCAAGTTCCACAAATAGTCAAAGATTCAGCATATATTAATAGTGAACAATGTTTCGTTTCAATTTATTTTTATTAATAAAGCGGTTAAGCTATTATTTTTCATATCACTTTACTTTTTCTATTTTGCGATTGTGGTTACCAATTTCATCCTACAATTATTCGGTAATACAGATTTGCTAAAATTAAAAGCACTATATAACGAACCCAATCTATTGAGTAAGACTAATTAAGTTTATTCGCACCATACTAGATATTATACTTTTAAATATAATTTTTTTAACTCAATAAGTTAATACTATTTTTATTATTATTCATTTTATTTATTATATATGAAAACAAATTTTTTTTTGTCTAATAAAATTATTCAACGTACGAGAAAAAATTATTAATAAACTAAATTATTTTTTGAGAAAATATGTCAGCAAAAATTATTTTTATAAGCGGTTTATATTAATATTTGTTATATTATATATAACATAATATTTTTAGTTATAATCTGAGTTCGTATTTTAATTTAAAATCTAAAATGCTATTAAAATACATAAATATGATTTGACCGTTTCTATATATGTCATTTATAAAGACTAATAATTAATTTTTGATTATTTTTTAAGACTTATGTCATAACAAATAAACAATAATTATAATTTTCTAACAATAAAATCATTTTTGGATATTCTGTAATTTTTTATTTTCATTTTAAAAGTAATAAAACTTTAGTTGTATCATACTGTAAATACTTTTAAAGTAATATTATTTTAATTCGAATTTAAACATGTGTTATATTTATTAAATGAAATAGTATTAGAAACAATTTAAATGAAAATTACAATTTCTTAAAAACAGTTACTTTATTAGTATAGTTTATATACATAATAACAGAGTATACATAAATTTGAAGACTTAATAGTAGTGTTAAGTACATTTTTTAATTAAAAAAAAAATTAAATAAACACGTATAAAAATTAAAATTATAATTATAATTTATTATAATAATAAAATAATTTAAATATTATTCCCAGTACAAAAATCAGAATAAATGTTAATTGAGTTTGTCCAATCAGCAATTTCATAAATATGAAATTTACTTATTATTATTATCTCTAAAAAATTCAAGATATTATTTCTCTTTTTTAATGTTAACATGTTATCAATTTTTCCTTTGGTGTAATTATATTCAATTACCATTAATTTAAAACATTTAATTCATAAAATGTATTTTATAAGAATTTTAGGTAAATTGTATTATATAATCTTATTTTTTTACATTAATTAATTAATTTCATTAAATTTTAAACTTTTATAAACTTGAAGCATAAATATAAAATTGTTTTTATAGAAGGTAACTATTAAAATAAAATAATATGGTATATGTTAATTTGTATAGTTCTCGAATTTGTAAATCAGTACAATGATATTTAAGGCGCAATGGCAAAAAAAATACATATAAATATACAAGTTGCCTAACAAGAAATATAATTTTGTAAGAAATATAGACATTATTTATCAGCAGAAATTTAAACACTACAAATTATCTTTAAGTACCTTAATCATTGCAGTACGTTTTATAAAAGAGCATAATATTTATATTCTTATTAACTTATTCAAATACAAACTATTTTAATCAAAACAGAGGTTTGTCCCATATCCCTTTAAAATTTGGGATTCACTTACTTTGCCTAAACTTGCATAATAAATAGTTAAATTTACTATACCTAATGGTAACAAGTACAATAAATCATTTACTATTTACTATATATATATATACGATAAATCATTTAATAACTTTATGATGACTTTAACAAAGAATTAAAACATAAATAATAAATTAATGTTTAACTATGATAACAAGACTATTTAAAAGTTCATAATTCGATGAAGATTATAATACAACTGATAGTTATTAAAAAGCACTCGAAAAAATCACAAACGAGATCCAACACTCAATTATAATATATTATTAAACATAATAACATTAAAGATAGTGTCGTTTACCAAAGAACAACAATATGTCTAAATTCATAAAATTTCACACAAAGATTTGTCATATACTTATAACTATTTTGTCGGTCATGGACAGTTATCCTAATATGGTCATGAATAAACAATACAATAGTATATACACAAAATGCAGTTTTCATTTACAAATATGGACATGACATGTTAATTCTTACATTTCATAGTATAAAATAGTAACTTTGACAAAATGTGTAGATCATTTATCATTAAGTTATATAATTTTAGTTCACAATGTACATATTTAATAATATATGCTTACATTTTTAGGAATAATATAATAAATTTTAATTGTTGCCGTTAGACTCTGGAATTTTTGGTAGTGTTGAATACGTTAGTGACGTTTTACAATTGTCACTTGTACTTATTGTTCCCTTTTCTTCTAAATCTTTCCAGTACTGATAATTAGTCCTCATGTAATACAACATTTCTGGCATGTCAATAAAAGCTAAAATATAATCATCATAGATTAAAATAGATGAAATGTACTATAACTGATTTTATTAATAATTATTTCCATTAAAATAATAATAATAGGAATAATTTTGAAATTAATTTAAAATTTTTATAAATAACTATGTTTTATTTTTACAACTTTGAATGATATAATTTCAATAAATAATTTGAAGAACACAATTTCTCACCGTCCCATGTTTCAAACATATCGTTGATAATATAATCCATAAATCCTATTTGCGATTTTGGAATGGAGCAAGTTGCTCTATCAAACATTGGCATCACGACTGGCAAGTGATTAATTTTTTCTTCGTCGGTCTAAATATTTTAAACATATGTTGTTTCATTATATACTTATATTTATATATCTATAAACCAATTAGCTTAAATAAATTGTATTGTTTATTACTATGATACTTAATGTGTTATGTGATGTACCTGATTGAAATATTCTTCAGCAATACGTTTTGCCCATTCTACACATAGTTTAAGCGGTCTGGTTGGATTAGAGACATCTGCACATTTGATTAACATTCTTTTTACAAGATTCACTTCTTCCGCACTAGTTGGTTGAATTATTTCTGGACCGACTTCACTGGGTGTCTATTAATATTATTGTTACCATTAAATTCTAATAGAAATTGCGAAATTTAAGATTCAAATAAAGTGTTTTTTTTTTTAATTACAAATGCTTTATTCACCCTCACCCCGCCATCAAAAACACATTCTTTCGTGGTTATCTTATTTTAATGATAATAAAAATGTCAGTGAAACTCACTAATCCATCAGCTGGCACATCATCTTGTTGTGTCGGTTTGTTGCAAACACTAACAAATTTAGCCAAGTGTTCAAAGTGCTTTGTCATTTCAGTAGCTAATATCATGTCAATAATGTTTTGTCTTACAACTTTGTAGGTGTCTTTTTCTAAACCTAAAGGAATTTTTTACTTCACAAAAAATCAAAAAAATTTTAAAATATGCAATTACCTTTAAATATGTTCACCCGATCATCTTTGATTGTAAGTTTAAATGTTAAAGCTGCATGATGAGACTCTAAAACACTTATATCGTTATATAGGAGTGCAAGGTCATTTTGAGAGTTACACAGAAAAGCGCTAAAAATTTCACAAAAAGTATTGATTAGAACGACTTTAATTGAAAACCGAAAATAATATAAATAGATTAGTTAATATTTGTAAAAACAATTTTTCAGTTAGTATTAAAATAACAATAAATCACTTATTTTATACGTCCTCCAAAAGTTTCAGGCAAAACAGTTAATTTTTAACAACGGTAGAAATTGACTAGCTAAAAAGATAGAGTTAAGTTAAAAAGTTAGTTTTTTTTTTAAGCTTATCTAGTTTAATTTTTCGTTGAAATAATATAACATTTTCAATTAATTATATAACAATCATCGAGCTGAATTTAATAATGTCATAGAAATTTTTAACTTAATTTTTGGTTGTATATGTGTTTTTAAATAAAAATAATCCAATAAATACTTAAATTTGTGATTTACGTTTCTTGAATATATATTATTATAATAAGATAGATTGGCATAAATATGCGTAATATTGATGTAATAGATAAATTATTTTTATCGCATAATAATATTACTATTATGTGATAAAATTAATTATTGCCAAGGTCACTCATATATTATCTTATTCCAGGATTTTTTTCAGATAGCTTAAATAGTGTGTTGTATTTATTTGCATTTTATATTTAAAGTTTATAACAAATATTTATCATTTCTGCTAGAATAAAGCTAGAGTAAATTGACTTTTCTCCTATATTAAATAATATATTTGTATAATAATAAATATAATTCTTTGAATTTTTTCAGGAGAGGACAGGGAATGATTTTTGAACTTGTTGGTTTTATATTCACTATACAACCTATAGTTGTACTAGTGTTACTCGTAAATTAAGAAATTAAAAAGAAAAATAAATATGCTTTTGCGATCCTCAAACTAATTTAAACATTATATAAACTTTTCTAATCTGAGTTAGGTTAATAGTATTTTTCGCTTTAACTTCTAACTTATTTCTATTTAAATTAACTTAGCTTGAGTTAATTGTTTTCATTAACTTGTCCATCAATAATTTTTTTAGTAAACTAATGCTATAGAATTATTTAGCTAAATATGGGAATTGTCCTTTATATAGCCTACTGGAATATACACGACGAGAGTATAATTATTTTGTTCTCACTATCTAAGACTAGCACGCTGCATAATATAAATAAGCTTCTTAATACGGAGAGCGCTCATTTAGTGGCCGTTTATTTAAAAGTATGTTTTATTAATTTTTGTTGACGTTTATGTATATAGTGTTATTAAATCATATTATTATGCAGTATAAGCTTTCATAAAGTAAATAAGTAATAAATATAAGATACCAAATAATATAAAATCTTCTCTTGTTTTTATATAATAAAAATAAAATAAATTTCGAATAAATGTGGGAAATTGACACAAATGCAGTTTTACACACAGACCATTTAAAAAAAAAATGTTTAATTCATATGTTTTTTTACACTGATTATGAATATACAAAAATAAAAAATGGGTTAACGATAGTTAAAAAGTTTTATTTCTTTAAAGTTTACATATAACGCTGTTATCAAGCCATGCGCACGTTATTACTTTGCTCATTTAAACGACTTTTTACTAAGTTTTTATACATTTAATTTATAAGTTATAAACAATATAAATAAACTAATAATATTTGTCTAGCTTGTGAAAAGTAATAGACACAATTCAAGTCATGAGCACTTCATTAATATTCTTCTATAAGTAGCTTTTGTCAACGATTTTTAAAAAGAAAATGCTCAAATTGAAAGAACCTGACTGTGAATCTGGAATGTTGGGAAAGATTAAGGCAACCCCCAATCCCTCCGTTTTTATCTTTAAGTTCATTTTTCGGTATTTTACATAATAATGTGTACTTTGCAATCAAATATTATCAGAACAAATTTTGGGGTCAGATCAGGTGATTGAATCGAGCTCCTTTGAAACTCTCATTAGATAGGGGCACACTCCAGCAAACCCACAAAGGAAAGTCCAAACCACCACATTAAATGGCAATAGTTTTATCAAAATTCCGTTAGTAGTGCATTGAAGTATTTAAATCTGTTTCTTTCCCCGAACCAATAACATTATTATGTTAATGTTAATAATAATATAATATATTATTATAACAATATTATTAATATTATACTTCGCAATGCTTACAAAAGGACCAATGATTCTGGTAGGAATATACCGCTAGGCCAGGCACGATAAATGTAAATAAAATAATTATAAAAAAAAAAAAATAAGATGAAAACAAAATACTTAGTTGCATTTACAATTATACATCATAATAACCGACTAATTCTTATTCAGCACAATAGATAGACGAACTTAATAATCATTAAAAACTATCTTTAATAACAATGATATTAGTGAAAACTGCATAAACTCAAATAAAATGTAAATAGAATTGGCATGCTTAAACCAAAATCATATTCTACTAAAAAATATGTGCGTGAAACAAAATTTCAGGGTACTTTTGAAATGTCTTTGGGTAGGCACGGTAAAATGTTTAGATTTTAAATCGAAAAACGATGGCAGTAATGAACGTTCTTGATAAAAATTTTTACCCCTTACGGTGTGTTAAAACATTTTTTCTTATCTTCACAAATAATTTTTTCAAAATAACATCATCGAGTTCTTTCATTTAATAAAAAAAAAAAGAAAATCTGACATTGTTTCAATTTTTCAAGCATTGACTAATTTTTCAATAACAAAGTAATTTGAAAACATTAAAGTACTATAATTTTTTAATTATTGTTGATCCATATTTTATTTTTGCATATTTGTTATCAGTGTAAAAAACAAATCGATGAAAAAAAATCATCTTGGAGCTAAATTGTATTTATGCCGGAAAATTAAAAAAAAAATTGAATTTCATTTTACATTATTTATAGATGCAAATTTAATATATCTCTATTTAACAAATTATTTGTAAGCACTGGTGTAAGGGGGGAGGGGAGTTTTGGGGATTGAAACCCCCCAAAAAATTTATAAGCTAAGCGACAATTTTGGACGATAAACAATAAGTAATAACAATAAAAAAGATCATATCATACTATAAATATTTCCACAATTAAGTAATCGTAAACAGGAATTTTTGTGAGCGAACAATATGGGCAGTGTCACATCTAATTTTCTTTAAATTTCAAAAAAAAACCAACATTTAATTTTTGTGTACGCCACTGGCCATATCAAATAGGAAATACTATCAATTATACATTTTAAACACATAAACAGTTTCTATGTCTTAACTTATACCTTAGTGCTTAGGTACGGTGGTTCTATATTTTTACGCTAAACTATTCTCTCTTTTAATTTTTTGGAGATTGGTAATCTAAAGCCAGAGTAATAAATTATTATTTTTTCTATGTTTTACCTTGATTTTCCAGGATGATCTATATCATGAGTTATAGCTGCAATTAAACAACACGCTTCGTCTAGTTGATCCAAAAGCCGTTTAATTCTATCTTTCTCCAAAAACATAGCTGTTGCTTGTAGTACGTCTGCAGCGTGAGTCGAATTATGGTAACTATTTTTAGAGTGATAATGACCTTCTACAACTGTTAACCATCCGTGAAGAACACGTTCATCACACCCTAAAGTTTTGTGAACTTCAAAGTGTGTCAATAAATTCATTCCTAAATGAACCAATGGTCTGAAATACAAAAATTTTATTTACATATTTTAATATCATTTACCGTCAGAGTTATAAGGATAAATATGTAAAAACATTTTCTGTATAAAATACAGAAATTATTAACACTAACAAAGGTTACTGTTTACTTAACTAAACTCTAATTTATAAAGTCATTGCCGCCTAAATGCAAAAGGGAGGATATTTGTTAAACTGATCATTCAGACATCGCCATGATACTGATTTCAAGCTTTGCTTTCACTATAAGCTCCAGAATAAGTAAGCTCATGGAAATTATTAAAGCGGTATTTACAAAATCCTCGCCGTTACCAAAATGGAAGACACGGAACACTTATTTACAAATCAATATGAGTAATTTTTTAATGTAGTAAATAATGAGTTCTATTGAAGTAAAGCGTCAGAAAACATCTTGATCATTTAATATTAATCATAATTAAAAAAAATTAAATTTTAGCTTCGATGCGAAGCTGAGAAGGTATTGGTTTTACTAAGATGTGTTTTTTTTTTTTTGTGTCTGTTACCACTTTTTCTCAGCTCTCACCGAACCGATTTCTTTCAATGATACGTCAAAAGATCACAAATCGTATCTAGTCGAAGACATTACCCTTAAAAATTGAAAAAAA